AATGCAAGGTTGAAAAGATATAGCACCCGTTTATGATGAAAACCCTCACCAAAATGGGCATAGAGGGGACTTTCCTCAATACAGTTAAAGCCATCTACCACAAGCCTATAGCAAGTATCATCCTCAATGGGGAAAAACTGAGAGCCTTCCACCTAAGATCAGATGTGAGGCAAGGATGCCCACTCTCTCCACTGCTGTTCAATGTAATACTGGAAGTACTCACAATAGCAGTTAGGCAAGAAAAGGATATTAAGAGCATTCAGGTAGGAAAGGAAGAAATCAAGCTCTTACTATTCACAGATGATATGATACTATACTTAGAGAACCCTAAAACCTCTACCAAGAAACTCCTAGAAATAATAAACTTGTATAGAAAAATTGCAGGCTATAAAATCAATACTCAAAAGTCCATGGCTTTCCTATATGCAAATAATGAGAGAGAAGAGGGCTGGAGCAATAGCACAGCGGTAGGGCATTTGCCTTACAAGCAGCCAACATGGCCAACCCGAGTTCAATTCCTCCACCCCTCTCGGAGAGCCCGGCAAACTACTGAGAGTATCTCGCCACACGGTAGAGCCTGGCAAGCTACCCGTGATGTATTCGATATGCCAAACACAGTAACATCAAGTCTCATGAATGAGAAGTTACTGGGCCCGCTCGAGCAAAATCAATGAACAATGGGAGGACCGTGACCGTAAGAGAGAAGAAACTGACATGAAAAATCAATCTCTTTCACAACTGTGCCCCAGAAAATCAAGTACCTGGGAACCCGCTTAACTAAGGAAGTAAAAGACCTGTCCAAAGAAAACTATAAAACGCTACTTCAGGAAATAAAAGAGGACATGAGAAAATGGAAAGATTTTCTTTTTCTGCCTATGTCTATCATTTTCTGCCTATGGATCGTGAGAATTAACATTGTCAAAATTGCAATACTCCCCAAAGAATTGTACAAATTCAATATGATCCCTACAACAATACCCATGACATTCTTCAAAGAAATGGAGCAAACACTCCTGAAATTCATATGGAAAAATAAACAATAGCTAAATCAATTCTTGGGAAAAAGAAAATTGGAGGAATCAACCTCCCTAAGTTCAAACTCTACTACAAATCAGTAATACTTAAAACAGCATGGTACTGGAACAAAGGCAGAGCTGAAGACCAATGGAACAGGGTGGAATATACTGAAATCTCCCCCCAAACATATGATCATCTAATCTTTGATAAGGAAGCAAGAAATGTGAAGTAGAGCAAGGAACAACTGGTGTTTAACAACTGGAGCTGGCAAAACTGGACAGCTACATGCAACATAATGGGCTCCGATCTCTGCCTAACACCATGTACAAGAGTAAGATCAAAATGGATTAATGACCTCCACATCAGACCAGAATCCATAAGGTACATTAAAGACAAGGTTGGCAAATCCCTCCATGACATTGAAACTAATGATATCTTCAAAGACGTCAAGCCACTGCCCAAGCAAGTGAAAACAGAGATAGACAAATGGGACTATCTTTAACTAAGAAGCTTCTACATCACAAAAGATACAGTAACCAAAATACAAAGACAGTCTACAGAATGGGAAAGGATATTCACCCAATACCCATCTGACAAGGGGTTGATATCAAGGATATACAAAGCACTGGTTGAACTCCACAGGAAGAAAACATCCAACCCCCATCAAAAAATGGGGCAACAAAATGAACAGAAACTTTCCCAAATAAGAAATCTGAATGGCAAAAAGGCACAAGAGAAATTTCTCTACATCATTAATCATCAGGGAGATGCAGATCAAAACAACAATGAGGTACCATCTCACACCAGAGAGACTGGTCCACATCCAAAAGAACAAAAGTAACCAGTGTTGGTGCGGATATGGCGAGAAAGGGTCCCTCTTTCAGGTGGGAATGAGGGTGGTGGAATGCAGACTGTTTCAGCCCTTTTGGAAAACAGTATGGACGATTCTCAAAAAATTAGAAATTGAGCTCCCATTTGACCAAGCAATTCCACTCTGGGAATATACTAGAGATGTTGATATGACATCTGCACTCTTCATTGCCGCACTCTTCACAATATCCCAACTGGAAAAAACTCGAGTGCCCGAGAAGAGATGACTGGTTAAAGAAACCTTGGTATATCTACACAATGGAATACTATGTAGCTTTTAGAAAAGATAGTCATGAACTTTGCATGCAATTGGTACTACATGGAAAGTATCATTCTAAGGGATGGGTACTCGATAACTCTATAACTGAAACCCAAGCACAAAAATTTGTAAGGCTACAACTGTTACTTCGTGGTGTTTCATGAATAAAAATTAAATATATAAATATATACATATATGTTTTCTTGATTATACTTAATTCTACAAAGTGCCAAGAGTTAACTATCTTTGCCGATGAAGAAACAAAAAGTAGAGGTTAATTCTGTGTCAAAGTCACATTGTAGAGGATGGAGTGATAGCACAGCTGGTAGGATATTTGCCTTGCATGCAGCCAACCCAGGTTTGAGTCCCAGAATCCCATATTGTCCTCCAAGCACCTCGAGGAGTAATTCCTGAGTGCCTGAGCCAGGAGTAACCACTGTGCATCGCTGAGTGTGACCGAAAAAGCCAAAAACAAACAAACAAAAAAAAGGGCCTAAACTAAATGCAGTCTTTCTGGCTCAGGAATTAGTATCATCATATTTGGAGAAAATTCACTGAATATAATTCATTAATCTATTGTTTATACCCAAAGGAGCTACTTTTTAAAGTAAGAAGTCATAAAATTGACTTCCTGCTTTACCATGTATTAGTTATGATTACCACTTAATAGGGTTGGAGCGATAGCACAGCGGGTAGGGCGTTTGTCTTGCATGTGGCCGACCCAAGAAACCTGGGTTTGATTCCTCCACCCCTCTTGGGAAGCCCAGCAAGCTACCAAGAATATCTTGTTCTCAAGGCAAAGCCTGGCAAGCTACCTGTCATGTATTCTATATGCCAAACACAGTAACAACAAGTCTCACAATGGAGACATTATTGGGCGCACTCTAGCAAATCGATGAACAACGGGAGGACAGTGCTACAGGACAGTGCTACAGTGATACTAGTTACAATTCAGAAAAGGAATATGTAGCTTTTAACCCAGGAAATAATAAAGCAGCATACTTCTGATGATAACTTTGGATCTGTTTTTTAAGTTTAGGCAAGTCTGTTCACTTGTATACAATATTGGACTAGGTCATGGTCATGGATCTCCTGTTGTTCATGGATTTGCTCCATCGGGCCCAGTAACATCGTGAGACTTGTTACTGTGTTTGGCATATCGAATACGTCACGGGTCACTTGCCAGGCTATACCACGTAGGTGAGATACTCTTAATAGCCTGCCAGGCTCTCCAAGAGAGACGGAGGAATCGAACTGAGGTCGGCCATGTTGACCACATGCAAGGCAAATGCCCTACCCGCTGTGGTATCACTCCAGCCCTAAGTAGACATCTTAAGGTGACCGATTTCATGACTAGCATGTAGGGGGTTATAAATTCAATCTTGGGTACCAATTGTCCCACTTTTATTTGAGCCCTGAAGAACATTGCTCCTGTGGTTCCTGAGATTCACATGTTTCCTATAAAAATAAAATCAATTAACTCACATGTGATAGAATACAACTTTATAAATTAATAAAATCCCAATTCACAAACATCTGATTTAGGACACCTGGAAGTTGGTAAAATGTACAGAAAAATAAATTAATGACATTATGAGATTTTCCTTTAGCTATATATCCTTGTGTCTAATTGGAAGGTTCATCAGTAACAGATAGACATAGCATACCTTTCGTTAGAAATCTAAAGAACTTTCTATTTAAATCAGATATCAGATTTGATGTGTTTAGCAAAACCCAAAGGATATTTTAGCATTATAATTTTATAAAAAAAAGCTTGTATAATTTTGATAATCACACTTTCAGGAATAAGTGAAAATTCAATAACCTCTCTTGATTTCTTTTCTTTTTTTTTTTTTTTTTTGCTTTTTTGGGTCATACCCGGCGATGCACAGGGGTTACTTCTTGCTCATGCACTCAGGAATTAATCTTGGCGATTCTCGGGGAACCATATGGGATGCTGGGAATTGAACCCTGGTCAGCAGTGTGTAAGGCAAACACCACTGTGCTATCGCTCAGCCCCTCTCTTGATTTCTTTCATTGATTCTCAAAGACCATGTTACTCTAATTTGTTAATAGACACTTGAAATCATCCCTTAGGTTCAGCTTCCTATATAAACAATATGAAAATTAAAAACCAACAGAAATGCCTGAAAAAAATATAATGACTTATTTGTTAAAATATGAGTTTGAACCATTTTTTCAACTTATTGTTCAATAAGTACTATCCAAGTATGCAACTTTTTTTGTATGAGAGCTAATAATATCTTCCCAACAACCCAGTACTAGAATTTCAGGAATGGAAAATTTGAGCCATTTTCTCAGCTTATTTTTAATTAAGTGCTCTCCAAATATGCAACTTTGTTTATAAGTGAGGCAATAATATCTTCCCAACAACTTAGTACTAGAATTATAGGAGTGGTAAGAACCCTAGTTTTCCTCTGAAATCGGGATAAATCTTCTTTTTCCCTTTTCTACTATGATTCTGTCCTTACAAAAGAATTTGTTTCAAGCCCCTCACCATTAAGAATAACAACCTTGACCTTGTTATCGTTTTACCCTTAACTCATGGTTGACTGGAGGTCTAATAGGCGAAAGGAAAAAAAAATATTTACAATCTCTACTCATTTCTATATTGTCTTCAAGATAATCCCAACTAGTTGATGATAATTTGAGTGTGGCTGTTAAAACCACACAGACGTATTTGTTAATTGGAGGCAATCTTCTTTGGATATGTTTAATACAGTGAATACCAGCAAGTCAACATTTAATTTCCCATGGAAAAACAAAAGAATAGTCTAGATCAAACATTCACTTGTTCAACGTACCCTGGAGAGAAAATCCTAGAACCCATTACCTGAGATTTGGAAATGATAGCCAGTAATCGGGGCATGATGGTCATCATCATGGTGCAGAGACCAAAGATGAAGTTCAAAGAGACATAAGAGATGAAAGCTACATCTGAACTGGAGAAGATTCTGGACATCAGGTACATCCATGGAAGAGTTGCATATCTGAAACAGAAGTGAAAATCATATTTATTTTGATAAATTTTTTTTGTGCATGAAGTCTGAAAAATAAGTAATACTTCATGGACTTGGTCATTTTCTTTCATTTTATTTAGTGAAGAAAAAGTTACTTAATATTCTTCAGTTTCCACCTGTGGAGCAATCTTCATGGCCTTTGTTTCTACTGTCCTTAAGCCTGCCTTATGAGCTAGAGGAGAAGGCAGCTGGGAAGAGAAGAGATCTCAAAGTCAATGATGGTTGGAGGGATCGCTCGGGATGGTAGATGTGTACTGAAAGTAGATAAAGGACCAAAATGATGGCTTCTCATTATTCATATTACAAATCATAATACCCTTGTGTAGAGAGAATGTAAGAGGGAAATTGCCTGGCACAGAGGCAGGGGGAGGGTGGGACAGGGGTGTGGGGAGGCAGGACACTGGAGATATTGGTAGACACCTCAATGGAGGGTAAGTTTTATGTTTCATGTGACATTTTATTTGGAATAAAATTGCTGATGTGGAAAAGTTCCTATAGTAAAGAAGTAATACTTGATTTCTCTGGTGAAGGGATAGGTGTTTTATCATTGTATAACTGAAACTCAAATATGAAAGCTTTGTAACTGTAGCTCATGGTGATTCAATTTTTTTAAAGAAAAAGTTATATTAAACATTTAAAAAATATAACATTAATTCATAAGAAAAGAATATCCTATGTTATTTTTCAAAAGACAAAATATATTTTGGGAGACTCCAGAGGATATCATAGTATGGGAAATGCAGTGGGCCAGGGGTAAAACCTGGGTCAAGTATGGACCATGCCAACAATGTAATCTAGAATAAGAGGGTCTCCACTATCTATCTCCAAAGCTACATACCTAATGTGCCCCTGCACTCTGATTCTCATCAGTAATTTCTTTAAAACAAAAAAGACCTATGTATTGCAGTGAAAATTAAAAGCTGTCGGAATACAAAAATAAGAAAAATGAAAACATTCTTGTCTTTTACTTTTCTTTTGAACCCAGCTTGCTATTCTCAGGGCTTACTCCTAGCACTTCTCTAAGGAAACACTTGGGCTGGGCTGAAGGGACTATACGAGATGCCTGGTATCAAATTCAGGGGGCACATCCATAGCGAACACTTACCCACTGTACTTCAAAACTTTCTTTTCAAATCACATTCCATGCTGGGTCTTGTGTCATGTATTTTTACATTTATCTCTAAAATCCTCCATTCAGCAATCTAGAAGCTAGGTGCTATGATCTCATTTTATGAAGAAAAAAAAATAGCACTGAAATCACTTGATGCGAGATCCACAGCTCAGAAGCAAATGAAGTTGATTAATCAATTGTTCCTGATTGCCCTGCAAACTGGATAGTAAGGGGCTTCACCCAGATGAAGCCTCCACAAAGCCTCCTTAGATCTAGATGGCATCAAGATCCAAGATAAGAAGAATCATGATCACGACTATCCTGTTATTCGTTGATTGCGTCAAGCAGGCCACAATAACGTCTCCTTCGTCCTAGCCCTGAGATTTTTTTTAAAAGTGCCATATTCAAGGATCTTTCAGAGTTAGGAGAATGAGACTCATCATTGTTACTGGTATTTGGCATATTGGGTACGCCATGGGGAGTTTGCCAGACTCTGCCATGTGGGCAGGTTACATTTGGTAGCCTGCCAGTTTGTCCAAAGTAGGAATGAGATAATAAGATATAGAATAGAATCAAGAAAGACCATAAATAAACCAAGCAAAACTGTAAAATAAGAAATTGGGAGTTGACCAAAACTTCATGGTGCTGGAATAAAAATATTCTGATCTTATGATCCAATGAATGGGTCAGAATCTAATACTCTCTGACAAAGCTCCTTGTATCACTGTATCACTGTCATTCTGTTGTTCATTGATTCACTTGAGTGGGCACCAGTAATGTCTCTATTCCTCCAAATCCGGAGATTTTTGCAGCCTCTTCTTACTCATCTTTTCCCAATGATTGGGAGCTCTTTCAGGGTCAAGGGAACGAGACCTGTTGTCATTACTATTTTTGGCATATCGAATACGTCACGGGGAGCTTGCCAGGCTCTGCCTGCGAATGCGGGATACTCTTGGTAGCTTGTCGGGCTCTCTGAAAGGCATATATTTATATATTTCTCGCTATGATTTGTTGTCTACTATCTGAACACCATCAAATATGGTGTGATAATTACTGAAAATGGTTTGGAAGTGTCTTATAATGTGTCACACATCCGTGAAGTGTCCAAAAGCAGCCTGGAGTGTGGTGGTGTTTGGGTAGTGGAGGTCGGCTGCCAGGCCTGAGTCCTTTGAGGTGAGGAGAGCTCTCACCTGTCCCACTTGAGGCATTCTGAGTGAAAACAGCCTGGCACAGAGCTCCTTATATATGGCAGTTAATTTTTGAGAGTGAAGCACATAAAATGAAAGGGAATAAGGATAGCTTCTTCAATAAATTATGCTGGGAAAACTGGATAAATACATGTTAGAAATTTTAGCTGGATCCATACCTTACACCTCACATAAAAATCAATTCAAGTGGATCGAAGACATATAGATATGATCATAAACTATAAGGTATATTGAAGAAAATATAGGAAAAACACTCTAAGATTTGGATCTCAAAAATATCTTCAGCGAAATGATAACACATAAAGGCAATACAATCAAAGATAAATAAATGGGACTGCATAAAATTAAAGAGCTTCTGCATGGCAAAAGAAACATGGGCTAAAATCAAAGGACAGCTAATTGAATGGGAAAAATTATTTGCGTTCAGCACATTAGATAAAGTTTTGATATAGAGGATATGTGAAGTATGTACAAAAATAAACAATTAGAAAACCCTATCAACAAATGAGTAGAGGAAATGAATCAACTTTTCTCAAAGGAAGACAGGATAATGGCCAATAGGCACACACAAAATTGTTCATCATCACTTATTATCAGAGAAATACTAAGCAAGATGACAATAAGATAGCATTTCACACCAATGATAATGGCACAAATCAGAAATTATAGGAACAATCTGTTGAGGGATATGGTAAAAAAAGAAACTCATGTATTGCTGGTGGAAATGTTGTCTGGCACAAGCCCTATGAAAGAATATGGAGAGTTCTCAATAAACTTAAAATTGAACTTCCATATAACCCAGCAATTTCACTTTTGGGTAATTTACACCCATGACACAAAAACACTCTCTCAAAAGGACACAGGAACATCATTACCATTACTTACTCAGTACAATAATAGCTAAGATGGAATCAGCCTAGGGCCCAATGTCAAACAATTGGATTTTTAAGATGTAGTTTATATTCACAATGGAATACTATGCGATTGCAGAGAACAATGAAATCATGAAACTTGCTGCAACAAGTTTGGAACTGGAAGATAGGAAATTGAGTTAAGTTAGCCAGAAGAAGAAAGACAAACACAGGTTGAACGCAATTATCTGTGTTTTACAGATTCCTGAATTAAGACATGTACTGCTGTAATAGGGGGTATCTTGATCACCCTTGACCCCAGTGTCAAAAGAGGAGAAGGACAGAAAAGGGAAGAAATCAAAGAGGGGAAAGGGAGGGAACGAGATGTAATGTATGAATAGGCATCAGGTCTTCAGTTATAATGACAATATGTGTGAGCAATAGTGTCTTATATTCAAAACACAAATTCTACAAAACTGAGAATGTGAGATATAAACTGTAACCACTAAAACTTTGTAATGAGCCTCTCAAGTGGATGGACGAGGATGGGGGTGGGGTTGCAGTGAAGAGGGAATCTGGAAACACTGATGGATGGAAGCTGACATTGGTGGTGAGATTGGTGTTGAAATATTATATGACTAAAATAAAAATATCATAACTTTGTGAAATACATCATATGGGCATGAAGACATTTTGAATGTACGTATAGGCAAGGGGGCTGGCTAGTTCAATGGATAGAGCACATGTTTTTTATTCCAGGGCTTGGCCCTGCATATAGTCCCTGATTTACTGCCAGGAATGACCCAAAAAAGAAACTAAAAACCAGAGCAACAAAAATGGCGGAGGTGAGAGCTTTGAAATAAATTTTCTTAAGCAACATTTTATGGAAACTAAAACTACAGTTAAATAATTCAATTAGAATAATTACTAAAACGGCAACTACTGGCTTCTTTATTCTTTAAGTGATACTGATATTTTAGGGAAGAATAACAAATACCCACATGCATGAAAATCTCACACATTTATAACTCTCTATTGCCATTATTTTGGGGCCATAAATTAAATGCTAGTCTCTCTCAGACAGCTATCGCTACAACTAAATGAAACAATAGTATTCAAGTATTTTTTATAACTGAAATAATGGCACTAAGATCTAAGAACACAATGTGGGAAAGTAAGATCTCATATTCTGAGTGGCTTTCTTTTTGTTTGTTTGTTTTTGTTTGGGAAGCATACCCAGTGGTGCTCAAGTTTACTCCTGACTCTGGCTTCAGGGATCACTCCTGGAAGAGTACAGGAGACCATAAGCAGTGATGAAATGATAAAAGTTGGTTCTGTTCATGAAAGTCAAGCCCCTTACCCAGTGTACATCTCTCCTGCACTTGATGGGATGCTCATTCAGTATTTTTATAATATTATAATATTTTATTCTCATTCATTTTCTAATTTCTTCACATTTTAAATTTTCAAATGACTCATTTTTCTCATTTAGTTCTCAAGTTTTTGTTGTTCTTCAATTGCATCATGATGATGTAATTAAAAATAATCAACATTGGAATGTATCACACTAATTTTTACATAACGCCATAAAAAGCAAGTGTGGTAAAATAAGATATTAATAAACATTTTATTATATTATATTATTATATGTTTTAATGCTTTTGAAGTTGAGTTTTATGCATATTATAAGCAAAGGATCTAGTTCGGTCTTTCACATGTCACTCATCAGTTTTCTCAACACCATTTTATGAAGCTTCCCTTGCTCCACTGCAAACACCTAGTTTCTCTGTTAAGATTAGCTGTCCATACACCTAAGGCTTATCTCTTGGCTATCAATTCTAGATCATGAGTCAGAAATAAACTATGTTCATTATAACTGATTTATTTTATAATTTATAGTTGGGGAAAGAAAAATCTCCCATATGTTTTCCTCATAGTGCCTTATCTACTCAAAAGTTTTTATTATTCCAAATATATTTCAACAGAATTTGGTCCTATTTTTGAAAATGTCCTAAGTATTTTGATAAGGACTCAATACTTAGAATAGGATTGTCATTTTGAAAGCTTTAGTTCTTTTACCCCATCAACAGTGGGCATGTTTCTATTTCCTTGCATCTTCTATTTATTTTGGTAGTGTTTTATAGTTTTCTTTATATAAGTATTTCAGTTATTTTGTCATCTGATTCCCATGTACTTTATTTTCAGAGACACAACTGTTAACAGAATATTAAAAAAATTCTCTTATTTTACTGTATATGAATGTTGATTTTGTTGCCAGTGATACTACTATACCTGTTTATAATTTCTAGGAATTTTTTATAGAGTTTTAAGGACTTTCTAAATAGAGGATCATGTTTTAAGCAAATAGAGATAGTTTACCTCATCTTTTCCAATTTGGGTGCCCTTAATATCCCTTTCTTGGCTAATTGCTATAGTAAGTAATTCAAATATTACAAAGAATTATAATGGTGAGAATGGGAAACCTTGTCTTATGTCTGATCTTTGACGCAAAGCTTTCAGTTTTTGTTCATTGAGTGTGATATTCATTGTAGGCTATGGTAACTTAAAAAATATTGAGGAGGTTCCATCTCTTCCCATTTTATCATGAGTCTTTGTCATGAATGGGTCTTGTCAAATGGGGTTGTCAAATACTTTTTCTGCACCTATTTGTATAGTCATGTGGTTTTGAATTTTCCTGTATTTATGTATTGCATTTTATATTTTTATTTTAGTTTTTCGTACCACTCACATTAGTGCTTAGGGTTTAATTCGGCTCTGTGATCAGAGATCATTCATGGCAGGTTCAGAGGTCATTAAGATGTTCAGAGGATATTATGCAAAGCAAACAGACTAAAAACTGTACTATATCCCTGGCCCCAAATGGCAGTGCATTATGTTGGCTGAAATCAGTATATTAAACCATCTCTTCATCTCTGGGATAAATCCTACTGGTCTTATTGTATGGTCTTTCTGACGTATTGAATTCAGTTTGCTAAACTTTTATCAGGGATCTTTCCATATATGTTTATCAGGAATATAGGTCTTTGTTTTGGGGGATATCTGTATGCTTTTGATATCATCATAATATTTTTCTAAGAGAAACTTTTGGAAGGTTTATGATTTTTCAAATTTCTGAAAGATCCTGAAAAGGACTGAAGTAGTTCCACTTTAAATGTTTGGAAGAACTTTCTAGTATATTTATCTATGCCTGGGTTTTTGTTTTATGTTTAATTAAATTATGTTCTCTAGATATCTTGACCACTAATATAACTGACATTCATATGAAAATATTTGTACTTCTATTTTTTCTTAGATAAAATAGAATGACTTATTCAACAGTTAGCATTGGTATTGAGTGATAGTTTAATGAGCTGAGCTCATGTTTTTCATAGGGAAAGCAGGGTTCAATTCCGGGCATCACTGCTAGGAACTTAATGTATATCCTATGATATTTAAAAATAAAATAAAAATAATTAGTATTGAATTTTAAGTTAGTAATAACTTCACCATTTTTTTAGCAACGGTTGCCCACATATCTAGATATAGGCATAAAATCACATACAAGACACATACATTCCTAATACCAAGTAGGTGTATACTTCCAATATAGTCCTAATACCAAGTTGATCACTACAAATAATCCTGATTGTGTGTGTAGTTTGTACCTATGTCTATGAATAGTTATGGCTTTTTTTCTTGATATTCCCCTAATAAAATAAATGGGAAATAATCCCTGTTAAACCCACCTTGATCTCAGTCTCTAATGACAAAATGACAAAAATTTGACAAAATATTTTCAAACCATTGATGTCATAGATAAACAAGTATATTAAACACAGAGTTTCATGAGAAACTCTTAGCGACTCAATTTAAGAGCTATCTAGATTACGTCTTTGAGTCCCTGATTAATATCATAATGAGAATAACAAAATTCCATTCCAACTGATACATTTTTCAAACATCCTGGGAGTCTATCAAGGCCATTTCTCTGTGGCTGTGTTATCTTGCCCCTCCCACGGATCATCATCTGCTCAGGTTTTTTTTTTTTTTTCTCAGCTTTCCTTGTTGAAGCAAAATAATTGCTTTAAAAGAGAGAAAATCATGAAACTGACAGCAGGTTCAAAGTCATCTGAGGGGATTTTCTTTTTCAGTAAACAAACGAAAATTCTGCAACAGTGTTTCTTTCACATACCCGAAGAGTGCCAGCAGGAGGGCCGTAGCTGCCAAGTTTTCACGGAAAGTAAAAGCTGTTAACTGGAACGCGACGATAACTGCGACACACAGGCAGACAGAAGCTAAGTAGAAAAGCTGAGAAAGGAAAAAAAATAGGAAAGCCACACGTCAGATGGGGCTCGCATTTCAGCTTCCGCTTAGATTTTATATTTTAAACATCACATATTTTCTATTAGTAGAATTAGTCCTGGAGAATCCAGTTGTTTCAGGATAAATAATGTTCCTTCTAAGTCCATTTGTTGAACCTCTGGGACCAAACATGTGTCTGTATTTTAAAGATAAGGCCTTTAGTGAGGTCACTGTATTAAACTAAGTCCTAATCTAACATTACTAGCATTCATATAGTAAGGGGACATGATAATAATAATCAAAGGTGACCATGTGTCCTACAGAAAGAAGGTAGACAACACAATAAAAGAGAACCAATCCCTGCTAACACCCCACCTTGACCTCAGTCTCTATTCTTCAGAACTCTGTGCAAATATATTTTTAACATTCAAGTCACCAGTGTATGATAGTTTTCTGTGTTTAGTCTCAACACACAAATACAGTCACCCATACACATATTTGGAATCCAAATATTTCCCAGGTAATATTGTTTCTCTCCTATTATAGAATCTAGGGGGCAGACTCTAAGGCATTCTTCCCTATAAACCTAGACTGATATTGACATGACGCCTATCACATTAGTAGTTCTCACATCCTAAATCCTTCTTTCTTCAGAGTTCTCTCAGTTTCCACAAGACTAGCTTCTTATTCTTCAGATCTCAGATTAAATGCTACTTTCTCAGAATCCTTCTTTGACCTCCACATTTAAAGGTACCATTTGCCCCACTCCCCTTTTATTCTCTCACTAAATCTAGTCATAAGGCAATTGCAGATTTTGTATTACTGAATGTTTATACTTGTTCTGAATTCGTCCTATTAGTGGTTAAAAATGTGCAACTGGTGGATGGATGGGTGTTGGATCATTGTATGATCCATGAAAGCTTTGTAACTACATTTCATGGTAATTCAATTAAAAAAAAAGAAGAAGAAGAATACAAGCTCTAAGGAGGAGAGAACTCTGTTATGGCTTTATTCTTAACACCTTAGACATGAGGACCCTGTGCAGAAACATATAATTACCCTTTTAACCAGCAATTGAAAAAATTAACAGGGAAGAGTTGGAGGAAGGTTTAAAATGAGTCTACCTGGAACACCATCCCCCCTTCCTTTAAACCTAAGACAAATGCCAGAGTAAAGAGGAATCTAGAACATAATACCCCCTTCCTTTAAGCCCTAGGCAAACATCAGAGTAAACAGGCATCATATAGAGTAGGAGCAATAAGGAAAAATTACTGCAGAAAATAGGAAATTTCTAGGAATTTAGAGTCTTTAGATATCCCTGATGACTTGGAACCCTGATACTTCCTTGAAAGTTCTCATTCTATCTTGAAGTATCTTTCTTTTTGCCTCAAACGTGATTGCCACTCAATTCCTCTTTTGCAAACCAGCACCCAAAAGGAGAGAGAGAACAAAAGGGAATGCCCTGCCACAGAGGCAGGGTGGGATGGGGGGATGGGGGGTCGGAGGGATACTAGGATTAGTGGTGGTGGAGAATGGGCACTGGTGGAGGGATGGGTACTCCATCACTGTATAACTGAAACCCAAGCACAAAAATTTGTAAGTCTAAAGCTGTACCTCATGGTGTTTCACTAATAAAAATTTTTAAAAATTGACCATTTTTTACTGTGAAATGGCAGACATAGCAGAACAGAGTGCTCAGCAGTAGTCTGTGACCCCAGGGGCAAAATTGAACAACCACCACCAACTTCAGCAACTCTTCTTTCCACCAAGATCCCTGGATTGAAACTGGAAGATTGTATGTCTATTAAGTTTGTAGATCATTGTGGCTATTAAAAAATTAAAAAGTCAAAACAGACTCATTGGTAACCTTCATTGCAATAATGACTACAATACCTGGATTTATGGTATTCATTGAGTCGAGAGCCATTTACTCTTTCTAGTATGAGTGTAATGAGTAAGGAATCAAAGATCAGCTTTTCTTAGTCATAGATAAGATAATCAAATTATCTTGGATGTTAGTAAAATTCACACTAGTGTCTCAACCAAACTGACTTAATAAAATTGTGAGCCAATAACTTTGAGAACATTTCCTTTAAGTGTCACCAGGGAGAATTGGGAGAAATCCTGATTAGAATTAATTATTTCCTAAAAGTTTTGATGTTTTAAGTATGCCACACAAAATAATTTAAAAATCTGGATTACATGTTCAAAAGGAAATTAATCCAAGTAGGATCAAGGTGGTAATTAATACACCAAACTACAGTTTGTAAATTTGTGAGCAGAGAACTGGGTAAAGGTCAGTGTTCAGTAAATATCAATTTCTTCACAAAAAGACCACATGGTATAAAAGCACATGGAATATCTTCCCCCAACCTACCATGTCATATAGGAAATTAGTAAACCAATATGTCCTGTAGCCCAGGCCACTTATGTGCTGCAATCTTTTGGCTCCTGTCACCCGGTCCCTCACCACAGAGCTACCAATTGATGCAGATAGGATAGAAAATCCCAGAACGATGCAGAGGGCCACACCACACTGCCGGATACTCTCCAGGCTGTAGGCAAAAACAAAAAATCTTGTGAGAAAGCAGTCAAATAACATGAGACTTATTTATGTTGTCAACAATCTATGATGAGGACAATAGTAATAAAAAATATAAAGAACTTTTTAGCAAGACATTGATTAAGAACTGAATTCTAAATACTCTCAACAAGCTCTTGAGACATAGGTTATTGTTTCTAGTTTATTGAAGACACAACTGAGGGGTGAAAAGTAAAGGAAAATTTTAGAGTTTGCTATCTCAATGTGTACCCTTGACTTTCAGTTAAAACAAAAGACACCCAGGATGGGGTCTTTTGTCTATTATGGAATTACCTAGTTAGGGTGTTAGGAGGTGGGTATTAACTACAGATCTAACACATCATTAACCCATGTATCAATATATTTGTAAAATTTTCAGAGAAATATTGGAACTCATGCATGTGTTTTGATGATATGTGCTGTAAAAATTCTTGATCTTTTTTATATGCAACAATTGCCAATGTCCTCATTCAACCAGCCTCCCTTTTGTGAAAGAGAGAATACAAAGGCTATGCAAATGATGCATTAATTCATTAAAAACTGTCAACCATTTTCTTCCTATATTTTTCCATCACATCTGGTTTTGTAGACTTCAAAAGACTCCCACAAATCCACACACAAAATACTGGATAAGTATTAAAGACAGAATCCAGAAAATTGGTACAAAATATGGGAACTTTCTATCATTTTAAGTATTTCAGGTTAGAGCTTTTATTAATCATAGTGATGCTCTGATCCTAACTTTAGTAGGTAAATAGAAAATACATAGGTAATGTTCTGTTACTTACTATCAACTTTTACCTAAATATTTGCCAGCTAAATGTTGATAGAGAAGGAGTATGAGGAAATGGATAATGCAGAGAAGGCATTTGATAATGCAGGCAGGGCATTTTACCTTTTCTTTGCCCATATCAGGATATTCCCAGGGGTTACTCCTTGCTTTGCACTCAGAAATTATTCCTGGTGATGCTCAGAAGACCATCTGAGATGCCAGGGATCTAAACCATATCTGCTGCATGCAAGGCAAACATTCTATCCACTGTACAATTTCTCCAGTCCCAAACCATTTTAACTTTTATAAAATGATCTCAACTGGCATTTTTTTTGCCTAGAAATTTTGTGTCATTATATTAATAAGGGAACATGAAACAACCAACAAAACAGCTCCAAAAGTAGATTTAAACCAATGATTTGGTTCTATCTAGGCAAGGCTTGCTTTAATTTGTGGAAAATAACCATTTTTGAATTTTTAAATTGTACACTGGCTTTATGAACAACCATGATTCTAGCTAGATCATGAAATGTTTGCATAATACATTTCCAATAAGGTATTACTATGAATACTGATAATTTTTAAGCTGAAAAATATCTGGAAAATCTGAAGTTCAGTGGGTTTCTGGAAAACCATTGCCACAAAAAAAATACCTGTTTACAAATGCAGTTGTAAGGCTCATCCATTTTTAATCACTATATTTATCAATATATTTATTAATTACATGAATCAATTATATAATTGATTTATATTATTAATCACTGTATTTGCTCTTTTAAAAATCAACTGAAACTTTGTTAAGAAATTCACAAGCCATGAGCTGGAGAGATAGTACAGCAGGTAGGGCAGGTGCCTTGCACATGACTGACCTGGGTTTGATTGCTGACATCTCACATAGTTTCCGAAAGAGTAATCCTAAATGTAAAGCCAGGAGTATCCCTTGAGCATGGCCTGGCATGGCCCAACAAACAAACAAAGAAACAAAAAACGTATGATCTTTTGGAGTGATAACATCATTCAACACAAATTGTAAAAGAACTCAAATTATCCACAAATTATCTCAAAGATTTTCTTCCAAAATTGAAGTCATCCACCTGTCCCTTGTTTTCCCTCAACTTACATCTTGTCCTCATTCAGCAGTGCACCTCCATATGGGTGGCTATAGAGTGTTATTCCTGTGAAAAAAACAAATTGAAATAAGAGCTCACAAATTTTCTACATAAATGGCAACAGGAAGTTTGACTCTAAAACTCATGGAGTTTGCCCATGGGTTGTCTCACTTTCACTTTTCCAGAGCCAGGTCCATTAACAAGCTAATCAAAATAGCTAATTATTTTTATTAACTTGGCCAGTTTGTACTATGATTTTTGTTCCTGCTACTGTTTGAAAATTATAACCATCACATATTACATATGATATGAAATGACCAAGCTAATATGTTACAAATCCAATTGTCACATCCTGATAATTATACAAATGGCCTGAGTAATATTTACAATTTACAGTTACTAAGCATCTTTAAAATTTTAAATATGCAAAAAGGGTTATTTTACACAAATTAGATTAACCCATCCTAGATAGAAACCAAGTCATTAATTTAAATCTACCTTTGGAGTTATTTGTTTGTTGTTTCATGTTCCCTTATTAATATAATGATATCAAACAATATGAAAACATTACCAACAATTTATCAAAAAGCTGCTTTAGGTCAGAGACTATTTATAATGTCACACTGTGTGTGACAAATTTATATACAGACTTTTTATAATGTCACACTGTGTGTAATAAATTTCCCCAGCAAATTCGATTCAACATTGTTTCAAGAGCTCTATAAATTCAGGCAAAGCAAATGTGGTTTTTGTTGTTATTGTTTTGGAGCCATACATAGTAATGCTCAGGGGTTACTCCTGGATCTAAAGTCAGGAATTACTCTTGGCAATGTTCAGGGACCACATGGGATGCGGGAGATTGAACCTGGGATGGCCATGTGTGAGGCAAGCGCCCTACCCACTGTATAATCACTTAACTTCAAATGTGTTTTACTTTTTTTATTTTTTTATTAGTGAAACACCATGAGGTACAGTTGTAGACCTACATATTTTTGTGCTTGGGTTTCAGTTATACAATGATCAAATACCCATCCCTCCACCAGTGCCCATTCCTCACCTCCAATGCTCCAGAAATCCCTCCCCCCCAACCCCCTCATTCCACCACACCCCTGTGACAGGGCATCCCCTTTTATTCTCTCTCTTCTTTTGGGTGCTGTGGTTTGCAAAAGAGGCATTGAGTGACAATCAAGTTTGGTGTATAGTCTACTTTCAGCATGCATCTCTCATCCTGGGAGGATCTTCACAACACCCTTTATTTGGTACTCCCTTTTCTATCTGAGCTGCCTTCTTCCCCAGCATGTGCGGCTGGACTCCAAGCCATGGAGTGAACCTCCTGGTACTATCTTGGCTATTCTTGGGTGTTAGTCTCCCAATTTGTTGCTTTATATTCCCCAAATGAATGCAATCTTTCTATGTCTGTCCCTCTCTTTCTGACTCATTTCGCTTAACATGATACTTTCCATGTAGTACCATTTGTATGTAAATTTCATGACTTCATCTTTTCTAACAGCTGCATAATACTCCATTGTGTAGATGTACAAAAGTTTCTTTAACCAGTCATCTGTTCTTGGGCACTGGGTTTTTCCAGATTTTGGCTATTGTGAAGAATGAAGCAATGAACATAGAAGTTCAGATTTTGTTTCGACTGTACTTTTTTGCCTCTCCGGGATATATTCCAGGAGTGGTATTGCTGAGTCAAATGGGAGCTCAATTTTTAATTTTTTGAGAATCGTCCATACTGTTTTCCAAAAGGGATGAACCAGTTGGCATTCCCACCATCAGTTAAGGAGGGTCCCTTTCTTGCCACATCCACGCCAACACCGGTTGCTTTTGTTCTTTAGGATGTGGGCCCGTCTCTGTGGTGTGAGATGATATCATATTGTTGTTTTGATCTGCATCTCCCTGATGATTAGTGATGTAGAGCATTTTCTCATGTGACTTTTATCCATTTGGATTTCTTCTTTGGGAAAGTTTCTGTTCATTTTATCACCCGATGTTTTGATGAGGTAAGATTTTTTTTCTTGTAGAGTTCAACCAGCGCTTTGTATATCCTTGATATCAACCTTTATCAGATGGGTATTGGGTAAATATCATTTCCCATTCTGTAGATTGTCTTTGTATTCTGGTTATTATATCTTTTGAGGTGCAGAAGCTTCCTAATTTAAGATAGTCCCATCTTCTTATCTCTGTTTCCACTTTGTTGGTCAGTGGAGTGCCGTCTTTGAAGATATCATTAGCCTCAATATCGTGGAGGGTTTTGCCGACTTTGACTTCAATGTATCTTATGGATTTTGTCCTGAAGTTGAGATCTTTAATCCATTTTGATCTGTCTTTTGTGCATGGTGTTAGGTCAAGGTCTAAGCCCATTTTTTTTGCATGTGGTTGTCCGGTTATGTGAGCATCATTTGTGGAAGAGGCTTTCCTTGTTCCACTTCATGTTTCTTGCTCCCTTATAAAAGATTAGATGTTCATACAACCAAATGTGTTTTTATTATCACCGACTGTGAAACTACTTGATTTTCTCCTTTAGGTGAGGTTGTTTAAAATATCTGGAGCTACTGTGTGACCTGGTTTATAGGCCATCACAAGAGACACACTCTCCCTAGCCCCACTTATTTGACACTCTTACATTTTTTCTTTTTGGTTCACTTAATTTATATCATCTCTACTTCTTCATAATCTTGTACTGGAAAATTGAATTTTCAAAGAAATGCCACAAAGCTTAGTAAATACATATAAATTTAAAAGTTTGGAACTATAAAAACTACTGTATTCCACAATCCCTCATGTTATGCCACATCCTTCTTTGGCACCTCTTTCCCCACCTTTATCTACACAAGCCTTTCTGTTCATCTACAATTTAGAAACGCAAAGGTAAGTACTTTCATAGCAAAAGAACAGAAAGCGCTATTGGTGCAGGTTTTCTGTACATATTTTTAGAATAAATTATTTATTTATGAATTAATATTATCCTGCATTATTCTATTGGAGTTTGCCATCATTTATGATAAATGCCTATAATGTGATTTCCTAAACTTAGACAACACTTACATAGTCCTGAGGAACTAAGCTTAACTCTAGTGTCTGTCATGATCCACAACACCATCTACTATCCTTTTTATCTTTACTAAAAACTAACCTCATTCTTGATTTATTTCCCCAAGTTTCACTATGTTTCAACTATAACTATTGTAGCTAAGTTGCAACATTTCAGGTGATAAACTGTTCACTATTGGAGCACTGTAGCACTGTAGTCCTGTTGTTCATTGATTTGGTTGAGTGGGCATCAGTAAAATCTCCATTGTGAGACTTGTTGTTACTGTTTTTGGCATATTGGATATGCCACAGAGAGCTTGCCAGGCTCTGCTGTGCGGCTGGGATACCCTCGGTAGCTTGCCGGAATCTCCAAAAAGAACAGCAGAATCGAACTTGGGTCAGCCCTGTGCAAGGCAAATGCCCTACCCTCTTTACTATTGCTCCAGCCACACTATTGGAAACTCCCAAATAAATCTCAAAAGAAATGAATAAGTTGCATAGATTCTTCCAGACCCTGCACAAGGCCGTTATCTGTGGCAACCCAGAGTGGGAAAAATTAGCCCCATGCACTCGCCAACAGAGCCCTAGCAGCCAAAAACCTCCACACTCCACAATCACCTTCATACACCGGGCCAGATTCCTCTGCTCAGATGATTCTCATTCAGAAATAAATTTGTTGAAAAACTCTGGTATGCAGGTTTTGTGACTGAAATCTTCAGTCTTTCACAGAGTTGGGGATAAGCTCCCCATACTTTCAGAAGGCCCAGCAGTCACAATGCCCCAAAGCTGCACCCAGTTAAAAACTTAACTCTAGCTGTATCACCCTGTTAAAAAATTTGAACTTCCCGCATTGTGCAGCCACATTCAACATCTCAAACTCTACAAACTGATAATCCAGGAGTAGCACACCAGATTGGATGTGATGTCATATAGAAGACAACCAAACTCAATGAAAAATATAAATACAGAAAGCTTAACCTATAACAACATTTTAGTAATCTTTTATTAAGATTAAGATTTTACAAGAGCTTAATGACTACATGGTGAGATATAACAATTTTCACTAAATTTCTTCTAAGGAAACATTTTTTGATCATTCTTTTAGCAAATTATTTATGACAAGCAATATAAAGTAAATTATTGAGGGCCTTTATGTAGGCAGCCTTAAGGAATGGTTAGGAAAATTGGAAATGATGGTGGTGAGAAGGTATAATGTTGGTTTAATTGGTGTTGGAATATTTAATGTCTGTAACAAATCATAATGAACAACTCTGTAAACCGCACTGTAAGGGGAAAATAAACTTTAAAAGACCTATATACTATCAACCAACATTATCAATGGATTCTATTGAAGCTAATGGGCTTTAGGAGTTCACTATAAAAGTAAGTAATCCTGCCAAAGTTGTCCCACCAGGAGCTGTTGAAGGTATGTATCAACACATAGATACAATACATGTGAGAGTCATACTACTTTATGGATATAGAAAAACATTGGAATTAATTAACTCAAGAAAACAAACAAGCCCCAGGTAGGAGCCATAGTACAGTGGGTATGATGTTTGTCTTCCACGTGGCTGTCCTGGGTTAGATCCCTGGCATCCCATATGGCCCTCTGAGCATCACCAGCAGTAATTCCTAAAATATAGAGTCAGTAGTAACTCCTAAGCAAGGTGCAGGTGACTCAAAAATCTCTCCTACACACACAAAAAAAGAAAATAAACATGTTCCAAGGGCAAGAGGCAGCATGAAAACATCATTCCCCACCCCCCTCCCTTAAAGTGGTAGTTCATTAGACAGGGTAAATTCCAAACATATGAATGATTAAAGTCTGTAGGCTCGAAAGATGATGTGGATACTAACAATTATAAGGAAATTTAGGCAGGGTAAGAATAGATTTTGAGATAAGAGAAGGAACACATGGAGGGTGCGGGATCCCGGAGGAAAAAAAAAAAAGAAAAAACAGGTTCCAAAAAGAGCCGAGATCACCCGCAAGTTCCAGATGGAGTAGGTGCCGTATCCCGCCTCCCCCA